GAAGAATTTCTTATCTTAAAGGGGCTTGGTGAGAAATGATTGAATAAAAACACACAAAGTTTAAACATACACAAAATACAGTGGAGGAAGAAGTGGGCTGAGTTCTATGTTCTTACTTAGTAATAATAAAAATATAGACTTTAAGGTACGAAGCAGACCAGTGACAAAAGGGGACATTTTATAACAATAAAATGATAAATCAATCAGGAAGTTACAGCAATTGTAAATTTCTATAAGACTAAAATCTAGCATAAAATATGTGAAGCAAAAAGAAACTATAAGGAGAAAGACATGAATTCACAACGATAGTGGGGAATCTTTGCAATTTTTTTCTTAGTAACTAATGGAACAAGCAGGCAAAAATTTGAAATAAATAATTACCAGGCTGACTAATTGACTTAAATACAACACTATTACCAAGAATGCACAGCACAAGTTCCTTTAAACTGAATAGAGACCAGTTTCATTACATTTAAAGGATTTGAGTCACACAGAGCATCTTCTCTGATCACAGGAGAATTATGAGAGATATTAGTAATGGATAGCTAGAAGATCACCAAATGTAACTTATACACCTGCAGAATAACATAAGAGCCAAAAAAATAGAGAAATCACAATGCAATTGAGAAAATTCTTTTGATTACAACATACCATAACCTGTGAGATACTACTGAAGGTATATGTGGCATGAAAATGATTGCCTGAAATGTACGTGTTAGAAAGGAAGAGAGAAAGACAAAGATCTGAATGTCCCTTTCCAGGAGCTCATCAAACTACAGGAAATTATACAGAAAGAAATCTTCAGTAAAAGAGCAGAAAATAATGGAATTGTAAACAAAAGCCATGGGATAAAAAACAAAAGCCAAAAGGCAATCTTTTGAAAAATCTAATAAAATGGATAGTATCCTAACAAGATGGACGGAGGACCTGAGGGAGCGCACCAACTACCGACACCGGAAGTACGACATCCCCGCGGACACCACAGGCGTGAAGGCAGGCGGAGAGGAGGAGCCAGATCTTAGCCACTAGTTTGGATATTTAGATACTGTGAGGAACAGGCCACCACCTTACCAAACAAATGCAGTCAGACACAGGAAGCATACCTAGTTTCATTTTTCTGTAAAAGAAATTGCGTCTATGTCCAAAAACCTTTCCACAAAGAAAAGATCCCAATGTTGATACACAAATAAACAAACCTTACACAAATTATACTAGAAAATGGCAGAACAGGGAACACGGTTCACTTCATTTTACGAGGCCTGCAGAAACTTGATGTTAAAAACCTAACTAGTTTATTGAAAAAGAAGAAAATCAAAGGCTGTTCTCTCCCTTTAAAATACGTGCAAAAATCCTGAGAAAGACAGTGACAGGTTGAATCCAGTGCTGCTTTCAACAGATAATATATTTCAACAAATAGGCTTTATTCTAGTTAATTCAAGGTTGGCTTCATATTAGAAGAACAACTCTTGTAATTTATAATATTAAGAAGTTTGATATTTGCAAATGTTAGCCACTATATATAAAAATAGATTGAAAAAACAAACTTCTGTAGAGCACAGGGAACTATATTCAGTATCTTGCAATAACCTTTAATGAAAAAGAATATGAAAATGAATATATGTATGTAT